ATATATATATATATACACGTATAATTACAACGCGAACGTTGATGAAGAATTTCCTTCGTGTGAAAAATCACAGAGCTCCTTCGGAGACTACAATGAACTTACGATACCTCATATACCTAGCATAATGCCCCTGTACTGGCCCGGCAATATTATGCTGGAATATGGGAATCGCGGAAGTCAGCGCGCGAAAGCTGTACGGTCGTTGTGGAGAAATTACCATCTCGAAGTCCAAATGATGTTCGTTTCGAGGCGCACTATCAATAAACGGAGCATAATACTTTCAATTTCCCGTCTTAAAGGTCTTACACTCTGCTTACCGATAGCACGACACGCGATTTTGTTCTCATCGATACGATCACACGAAACGTCGATCGCCCTTATCACTGTTCCGTTTTCAAAATTCCTCGAGGCCGTAAATTCAATGAAAAGACACCGAGACGATCTTAGAAGGATCCGCAATGCTAATCAACGTACAAGATTTTTGAAGCGGTCATTTTGACGCACGTTTCATCGACTGAGCCCTACAAGGCGTATCTGCCTCCCACAAGACGGCTGACCAAAGTGTCTGATGACAGTTCACGATACGAAGTATTTGTTTACATCGCATAAGAATACCCTAGACATAATACAGTCCGATAAAGGGTATAAATGACAGGATAAACAGCAGAGCTCGATATTCTTTGTTACTTTATTCAACCTTATACCCTTTACAAATATCGCTCAAAAAATTAATCGACACGACATCCTTATAGATTAAAATTCTACGTGGTTCTGTGTACGGGCTTCAACATACCTAATTTCCGTCGAATAAGAATTTTTTCTTTTTGAAATGAATCTTATTAATAGATAAGAATTCGAATACGATTTTTTTCATTATTAACCTATATGTCGCATCATGATACAAAACGTTTTAACGAGTTGACGGTCGCGATTCGAAGATAACGATTCTGTAAATGTTATTTATTACAACGCAAACGTAAGGATAAGAAAAAATAAATTTGATCAAATATACTGAACTATCGAGATATGTATTATCGTAAAACACCTGACTTATTTCTTGAGATCACCGCCAGGGTGGCCGAGTTTGTGATGCGTTTGATGGATTCGGATAGCGGACACCTAAAACGTTTGTTATCCGAGAACATTATCGACGCGAAGTGTTGATATTACATCGCACTTTGCGTACCAATCTTCGCTTAGGGCTTGAAAATAACATAACTTGATAATCGCAATAAGAAGGAACGACAAATTACAAAATTCTCGTTGTTGGAAAAAAATGATTTATTGAAAAAGAATTTAAAGATATACAGATAGAACGATTAACATTAACAATAAAAATCAACTCCAAGCGAGTTTAATCGTTAGGCCATGAATGAAGATACAAGAATGGAATGTTCGATTAGACAAGGAGTAAAAATAATTTACGATGCACAAAATATTAATAATATTGCAATTTTTATTATATTCGAAACTCATTATTATATGTAGTAGAGCTGCCATTGGAATAAAAAGTATTATATTTTCTGGGAAATAAACAGGATACATTAAGATTTTCCTATCTCTGATTACAAGTAAATTAATGAGAATTACATATACAACACCGACTTATATTCACGTATGAAATACGCATTTTTTATGATGTTATCAAACTTTCCATGATATACTTTCCATGTACTACAGTAGAATTTTAAGCTATTTCTACAATATACGATCTATTCAAATAGATTGCTTGGTTAGATGTAAATATTATCAAGACGTACTTTTCATTTATTATATAGTGCATAACTTCATGTAATTTTAACGTAATATCAAGCCAATCGATTTATCTAAGTAAATCATATAAATTCTACATAATTATCAATACTTTCACTCTTATTAAAAATGTGATTGAAATATACATTTACTATTGTTTTGTATATTTAATTTGGAAAATGAAATGAACATCATCATTTTATCATTTATAAGTAGAATAAATGATTGGGCAATAATAAATTAGATTTATGCATATATACAATAACATTAAATATTTATAAATTATTACGAATTAGTATATATGGAAATACTAATTCGATATACTGGTGTTTTCTCTTTGTATGTAAATTTATCGGAAAATAATGTGAGACCTTTTATTATCTTTATTATAGCAGCAATATAAAAACATGCAATATAAAATTTTTCAAAAAACGTACTCGTCACTATACAAAATTGGTTCATCTTGGACGACTTTTGTAATACATATCTTATTGAACATAATGCGCTACAATCTACTTTTCTTAGAATCGTCTTAATCAACGTTATTTATTATAGATAAAATAGTATACTAGTAGTTATGCTAGTAAGAGTTTTTATTTAAGTAAAAATAAACTTAAAAGACAAGCTATAATTTTTAAAGTCCGATATATTTGTAAATGTAGAAGTAAAAAACAATAAGGTCCTTTAAAAACTGAAATTGTATATATGCTATTTCAAAACTGGTAAAAGGATTCTTTCTATAGACAAAATATTTATCACAGATAGAGTTTAAATTATTATTAAAATCGCAATAAAATAACATTGTGCAATCATATACTTGACTTGACATTTTATTTTTCTTTATAATTTGATCAGTATTACATATCACTGAATGATAATTTCCCCTCGATAATATTAATGTAATTCTTGTTAGAAATAAAAACTATAAAAAAATCACGCACTATATATATATACATATATATATCAAATTTTTTATTGCGACTTTATGTCGTATTTTAAGAATGAATGACATTTTCTAATAATTTATAACTGATATAAATCAGTTTATTTTATAAACTTACTATCCTTAATATAATTAAGGATTATGTAAATGAATTTCTGTGATGTATTTTACTGTAGTAACTAACTCTTCAAAATTAAGTAAAATTAAGATATTAAAAGAATCTTCTACAAATATCAGCCAAAAAAAAATCAATTTCTTTCTTTTTGCATTTTTTTAAAATTTATACGTTCAAAAATATATGTGCACAGCTGTTCGTAAAATTAACAAAGTTATAGATGCACAAACATGAACAGATCAAGTTACGCATTGTTTGTGTTACGTTGAATGATATGATATTTCAAATTCTAAGTTATCGACTGACTTTTAATTTTTACTGAATGTTAAGCAGATGTACCTTCATCGCTGGAACTGCGGATATTAAGATCTGATGTGTTTTTATATTTTAAATTTGAAATGAAAAAATTAGCAGGAGAGAATAGGCATTTAAAATTCACAGTTTCGACATTCTTTTAAGTGAAAAAGTTTTTTTTTTCCACAGCACGAACCATAACTGTATCCCTATCAATCAAAATGCATTTTGATTTTTTTGTTTCCGATAAGCAGAAAAGCCGCTACCATATCAGTTATCCGAACCCGTTTTTTGAACCTACATGTGTATATCGTTATATAATTCCTACAATTTTCACTATTTCATATTGAAAAAAAATTGAAAAATTAGCTAGAAATATGAACAAATAAGGTAATGAAAACCTTATGTTAAATGATCTTAAGATTTTTTTGAAAAAAATGTTCAAAAATGCCCTTTTTTCTGACCTGGATTTGTAGAAGACCTCCTAATCAGTATTGTGCTATCTCAGCATATGCCTAAAGTTGTCCAGTTCAAAGATGCTTTCTGATAATCTGCAAAATTTAAAAAAAGGAAGAGAATTATATTTTTGGTTAATAATTTCTTCCATCATATATTCTTCATCGTATAATTATGTTTAAATGTAAAACAGTAATACTTGCCTCCCAAAAGCATTTATAAGTGCAACAATTTCACTTCTTTCTAAAAAGAATTTTTTCCTATCAAAGTTATTTAACATTGATTCCCATTTATCAAATTTCCCTGAGAATAGAATTTTAAGTGCTGTACCCAAACCATGTGTTTGAAGTTTTCCCCATAATTTACATTTATCGCAACCCACACAGTCCATGATACGAGATATATTTCTAAAGTGTTGCCGAAATTGTTCTTTTAACAACTGAGCCTCAACTCCACCAGTAAACATAGTGCTTTCATTGAAATGATCAGGAAACGATCTAAAATAAATTTATCTTAAATAAACTATCTACAAGTATTGGATATCACAAATATAAAATTAAACTTACCTAATAACACTTAAAATATCATTCATTGCCAAACGAGTGTCATTATCTTGTGCTTTATTACCAGTATAATATTCTTCTTTTTCTAAATATGGTGCAGCTTTTGCTAAAGCTCTCAATTCCAGTAAATAAATAAAATATAAATTTTTTAACCAATTTGGGCCTTCATCTCTTGTTTCCTCTGGTGAAAATCTTTTTTGAAACTCTTGCAAATTAGGGCCCCACCTGCCACCAGATATTAACCCTAAATCTTCCTTTGATGATAATAAATATTTTGAACACAAATGAATATTAATACTAGCATGAAGACCTGATATAACACGATAGAAAGCTCTCTTTTCTAAACACATTCCTGCAATAATTATAATATATTACAATAAAATTAATTTGTAATTTAAAACATATTACTAACATGCTATTACAATAAAATTATGCTTACCATTTATTTTTGAAGATTGAATAAAGTTATGTGGGGAATTTTCAGGTCTGAAATTAAATGCATATATAAAACGCAATAGTTTTTAATATCCATTTCAAACTTAATTATCAATACAAGTATATACCTGAAACAATTTTCCAAATAAATACTGCGCCATATTCTATGTGCACTGGGTCCTTTATATCCTGTATATCTTTCAGGATTTAACAAAAGATCCACATATTCTCCTGGATCAGATTCTTTTACACAAAAATTATCTTGAGCATCATCATATTGCTGCCATAATTCAAAATCTTTATAGTTTTCTGAACTAAACAAATTATAATAAAATAGATTTGAAATTAAGCATTAAATGTTCATAAATGTCTTCATATATGGATTTGCTAGAAATATACTTGTTTACCTAATTGTTGTATTTAAGTAACTAAGTTCTCTATTATGATCTTTAGCATTATATAAACAATCATTATAATGTGCTGTAGCTTTATATTTATCTACAGGACTTTCATTAAAATGAATGTTCCTTAACATATCTCCTTTCAAACCATCTGGAATATCCTCCTATAGGAATAATGACATGTATATAAATTTCAGTGATTTTAAAATTACTTATATTTGTTACATCATGTTTATATATGACAATATTATGACATCTTTATGTATTAATCAAATTAATATATAAAACACTTACATCCTGACAAGGTTGTACATGGCAATATCTCATAGCACATTTACTATCATCAGTCCAGAAAGGGCATTCTTGCTTTAAATTTACTTTATAAAAGCGAAAATAATCTCTGACTAGAAGACTCTGAAGTCTGGGATAAATTTTAATATTATTAAAGTAATCCACTGTATCCACATTGCAACTGCAGTCATCAATCGAACCCTTCAACTAGATTTTTGTAAATATAATTTAATTACTTGGAATTATAAAAGAATATTATATTATAAGCTAATACATGAACATGTATATAATTAATAGTGAAAAAATTGACATACTTTTAAGGGTTATGTCTATTTCTTTTATGAAAAAATTTGAATAACGCGAGAACAATGAAAATAATACCTTACAAAAGCATTGATCATCCTTCTGATTGTTCGTTCCGAAATAATTAGAATGTACAATAGAAGGTAAAAGCACTGTAAGTATTATTAATATGCTGAACATGTTTTCACTGGGTTCACTTCTCATAATTAAATTCACTGGTATACTCCTCAATTACGTTTCGGTACTGATACTAAATTATTATCGCGCGTCACTGCGATACAATGTATTTCCCACTTTCAATAACATCGATTAGACTACGTGCCACGAGAAACGTAAATCTTTCTTCCAAAAGTAAATTTTACTGACACTTTCATCGTATTGTCTATTGATTAATCTTCATTCATAAAAAATACATAAATCTATTTATATTTACACAACTATTATATTTTTTGCTTTATTTTATTTTTAAATAAAATCAAAATAACGGTGTTACGTATAGCTGGAATGTTTTATAGCATTTATAACAGACGACTTATAATCTTAACGACGTGACTAGAATCACGCTATTATCAACGTATATTTTTCGTTAAGTTATTACTTTAATTATTATAATACATGTGTAACTACGTATTATATAATGTTCTGTAATAATTTAAAAAATAAAAGTAGTAATACGAAAAGGAAAATTAAAGAAATATTGTTGTATAACAAATAAATTTTATAGTGAGATATAATACATATGCAAATTTTTAATTTCTGCTTTGTAGATCATTTTTCAATTTATTTAATTATTTTTTCATAATAGCAATTATATCTATGATTTTAAAATATCCAACTTACTTCTAGACGCGGAAAAATATTAAAATAACTTCATTTCTACGTTTATATAGATAATTGCATCTATTTCCCTCTTTTCTCTTGCTTTTATTTAAATTTAATTCCACGTGTACTTATAATATTTGTTATTCATTGTAAACGATAAAAATAGAATATTATAATAAATTATTAAGTCGAAAGATAAGTTTAATATATCAAAAATATACAAAGTATTTGATTAAAATATAAGTTTTCCATTTCTTTGACATAATTGTGTTTTTATAACAAAAGATATATCGTTATAAATTTTTTTAAATGTAAACTACAATTTTTTAATTATGAGATCAAATATGAGGATTATATAATGTAATACTAATAGTCAATTAAAGATAATCGAAATAGAAAACATATATAAGAAATATACATTACTAAATGTAAATATCTAATTTGTTCTACATACTTTACAATTATTCATATCTAATCATATTTAAATAAGTCACAAAGTAAATCATGAACATATACAGTCAAATTAATTTTTTTAATTTTATACGGAATTTAAATAAGTGTATTTGAAAATTTTGTCATTTGGAATACATGACTTTCGAATAAAATTTATACTTTGGTAAATGGTATCTTCAAACAAATTTATGTTTGAATATACATATTTTTATTACTGAATTGCATTAGTAGTGTCAATATAATAAAAATATAAAGAGAAAATTCGTCTTTGATTCAATATCTTTTGATAATAAAAATTTGTAAATAGCCGCCACAAGATTTATAAATAAAATATCAATAATATTTTATGTAGTAAAAGAGCATAAAATGATTTCGTATGAAAGAGCAAATATGAATTTTACATATAATTACTATTCCTTTAATATATACACGAGCGCGCGCGCGCGCGCGTGTGTGTGTGTGTGTGTGTGTGTGTGTGTGTTGTGCATGCGGTTTGTATATATATGTATATATTTTATATATATATTATATATATCTCTATTCTCTAGTCTATTTCATATATATTATATTATATATATATATATATATAATATATATATGAAATAGACATAAAATACATTTTACCGTCAAAATAATCTTACAAAGATATATATTAATGTTCAAACCAATTTTTATAATTAATCGTTTCACAATACTGTTTGTACTCATTGGCGTAGACGCACTGTGGTATAGGACATGTCAAAACTTCATGTGAAGGTGCTGATGGTTAGTTGTCATTAAATAATCAAAATTATATTTAAAATCAATTTATGTTGAAAAATAAGTTTGAAAAACATTTCTTAAATTTTTCATATGTATAAGATGTTTTGTTATATTGTTTCATTTTCAATAATAATATATAAATCTTGTTAACCTATACAATGTTTTCAATTGTCAAAGAACATTTTGAAATTTACCGTGCATGAATATCCATGAAGTTCTATATTAAAAATATTTGAAAATATTTTCATAATATTATTATTATTATTATCTATTAACAATTAAGTTAGATATAGTTAGAGTTTTTAACAATTAGATACTAATTTTTTGTTGATTCAATAATTATACTTTTTTTCTTAATAAAACTGTTTTTGCAAATGGTATTATTTTATATCTGCTAATTCTTATATTGTCTTATATATTATAATTGTAAATAAAACTTAA